ATCAGTCGTCCTTTTTTTGCGTTGCATTATTTTTTTTGCCCCCCCCCCCCAATTAAAACTAAAGAGCTTTGATCATAAAACTAAGCATTTCAATAGTTTTATCATCTTACTAATCATTAGGGGTTTTAGTGTGTAAACAAATGTATTCTATTATTTTCTATTGCAAGCTTTACAGGGTTGTTTAATTTTAATCTCTTTATTTGTTTTTTGCATATCTGCATGTCTTTTCCTCATTGTCACAGCACATTTTATGTCGTTTTGAGCTTTTTGAAAAGCTAAACTGGCCAGTGCAGACTTGTAACAGCAGTCATGAATACTTTTTCTTCATTAGTTCTTTTTTTTTTAATCTTTTAAACCCAGAAAGTTGCCGGAGAGCTGTATGGACCAATGATGCTGGTGTTCACAATGGTGGCTATTCTGCTCCATGGCATGAAGACGTCAGGAACCGTCATTGTAAGCAACTTTCCACACGTTTGTCTTTGTCAAAATTTCACATTGTGATTTTTATTATTCTTATATGATCAAATATAGGTGGGTGATATGGCAAAATATCATATCACAGTTCTTTTTTTTTTTTTTTTTTCAGAAAAATCACGATTCTTTGTCATTTTGGTTTTACTCTTTTGCAAGTTGTCTGAGCTGTACAGCCAAACTAATTTTCCTGTTTTAAAATAAAATAAGAGCAAAGACATATTACAAATATACGTAATATACAAGTAAAACAAGCAGTGCTTTATTTCTCAAGTACTGTACGTGTATTTAGCAGTAGCATTCAAGAAATTGAAGGAACAAATATAAAAATAAAACACTATATACACTTCACTGTATAAATTATACATTAATTCTTATTAAAGCAACTGTATTAAAGTTCTTTAGTCAAGAGCAGTGAGTGATTTTTCTCTGTGTTTTATTTTATTAACATTAAAGGGATAGTTCAGCCAAAAATGAAAATTCTGTTATGATTTATTCTCTATAAAGTTTTTTTTTTAAACCTGAATAAATGTCTTTCTTCTGTTGAACATAAAAGTTATTTTGAAGAATGTGGTGTCTTTCCAAACTGCTGCTGTTCCCCAGTGACTTTCATAGTATTTTTTTCCCTACTATCAAAGTCTATGGGGACCAGCAGCTGTTTGGTTACCCGCGTTCTTCAAATATCTTCTTTTGTGTTCAGCACAAGAAAGAAATTAATACAGGTTTGGGACAACATGAGAGTGAGCAAATAATGACAGAAATTAATTTTGGGGGTAAATTAATATTAATATTAATACTAATATTCGTCTGCTGTCACGTTAAGACCTGCACACATCTAATATACAGGCACGCATCTGTTTTTCTCTCAACAGTTTACTTTCACTTTAGACATAACAACTGTGTTTATATGTAAACCTTGTGTGTTTTTGACAGTATTAGAACAATCAGACGCGAAAGATAACTTAGTCCGGTAATCAGGAACTATTTGACAGGCTTTTTAGTGTGTGCGCGCTTCAGGCACACACTATATTTTTAGCACGCGAATGAAAGGTTTAACTGGCAAGGCTTTAAAGCACATGCAAGTAATGTACTTCTGTGATTGTGAATAAGTGCTGTGTCCTATGAGTGTAACTGTAGAGCGGAGTTAACATTTGATGTGAATGTATGTCGCGTCAAACAGTATATTGAGACAGAGGCGCCAGAACTGCAACTGATAGAATGTGCGCTGCAGCACAATACTACGATATTTCTTCAAAAGCAGATCATGGAGACATTTTAATCGTCCACGATCAAAAATCACAATATCGCACACCCTTATAATCAAAGATTTTTGTTTGGTTGTTGAAACAGAGAGAGGGTACGCTGATGGGAACTGCCATTGGAACCTGTTTTGGATACTGGATGGGAGTGTCTTCCTTCATCTATTTCCTTGCTTACCTGTGCAATGCTCAGATTACCATGCTGCAGATGTTGTCTTTGCTAGTAAGTACCTCACATTACCCATGAAGAGAGTATATGACATGCCCACTTCATGTTAGGGCTGTTTAGCTTACGGTTTGTTTAGAGTGGGTGTCTCATATTATCTTTGTTTTCAGGGTTATGGTCTCTTTGGCCACTGTATGGTCCTTTTCATCACTTACAATGTCCACTTCCACTCGCTCTTCTACATTCTCTGGCTGGTGATTGGAGGACTCTCTACTCTACGCATGGTAAAGAAAAAATGAACGAGGGCTAAGATTATGCATGTATTACGGTAAGATGTGTAGTCACCATATCATATTTTATCTTCATTGATTTGTTGTCTTTCTCACAGGTGGCTGTGCTGATTTCCCGTACTGTTGGTCAGACTCCTCGCCTCATCTTGTGTGGGACCCTGGCTGCTCTTCACATGCTTTTTCTGCTCTATCTGCACTTTGCTTACCATAAGATGGTTGAAGGTAAAACATGAGTCTGAGAGCGAGCTAAAAAATTTAATAAATTTCACATTTTAATACTATTAAAAACAAAAGCAGTTAAAATCTAGTAAAAAATCATCAGAAATAAAAAACACATTTCCTCACTTTTCAGTGTTAAATGAACACAAAGAAACATTTATTCATGTTTGTACATTAGTATTCATTCATATGCACTAATATAACAATGCATAGTAATATACAGCAGTATTTGCTTAAACATATTTTTATACAAAACATTTTAAACATTTTAATACATGCATGCAGAGACATCCATGAGCATTTTTGAGTGATGATGCAAAGGAATGTATTAATAGTCTTATCATGAATCACCGTATGAAGAAGAATTACAAATAAAATAAAAGTTGCATTAAAATAATTGCAATATTACTTTGTAATATATAAAGTAAGTATCAATTATATCACTCTCATGGCAAATGCAGTTAAATCCGAAATACTTAGAAAGGTAACAATTGGACTGTTAAAATACATCACTGGAGCACTGAGTTGCTTACTGAAGGACTATCAAACAAATGAATACAATAAGCAATTTAACATAAGTGTGCCATCCCTTTAGAGCAATAATTTAATGAAAGAGATGGTGCATCAGAATGTCTTCAAGGCATTATTGTGATCTTTAGTAATTGAAATTCCCTTTTAAATCTAATTTTAGAGACAATTTAGCACCTACAGTATGTGTTTGTGGTCCTTTTTATTTTTAGCCCATCAGAATGAGGCCAGTTTGAACACTTTCATTTGTCTGAAACATGGTACACATGTTGTTCTTACCTGTGGATGAACGTTTTCTGTCTTGTATGAAGTCTTATGGCTTATACATGCATTATTCTACATGTATTTGTTGCCTTCTCATGTAAATAATGTAAGGCAATCCTGTCCACTGATGGCAGCACAAATGTATCCACCGCAGTCGCAACATTATGGTATGACCTTTTAGCGTTAGTGCCAAATTCCCCTCAAAAATGTCTAAAAATCAATCAGGGACTAACTAAAGATGACTGTGGGTGAATGGTCATGATCAAAAGCCTAAGCTATTGGGCTACTGTGCTTACAGTCAAGATTGTGCAGTGTTACAGGCTTTGTCACTGTGTCTTTCTGTTTCAGGTATTCTGGATACTTTGGAAGGACCTAACATCCCACCCATCCAGAGAGTGGCCAGAGATGTTCCCGTTGTTGCAAGTGCTGTTGTAAATGCCACCATCAAGTCAATAGCTGCAGTTGTACAGTCACAGTGATTATATATATTTGTCTATTGAGTCGGTCACATAGTCCAGTGAGGCTGGTGTACGTATGTAGGGTCAGGGCAAAACAGAATCATGGGGCAGTCTCTGTTGAGCACCTTAGGCCTGAGCTCACTTTGTATCTCTTATGTTGTTCCTGACGCTGTCGAACAGACCTAAAAGGGTGGCGCTTCACTTGATTTTGGCTCGTATTATTATGAGACAACAATTTTGACACACTATCCCATTCACTCTACCCACGTTTTAATCATTTTTTGTTAAGGGTTACAGTACATATGACCTCCTAATATTAGAATGGTTCATTCAGAATATGTAAGAATTCCTTGAGGATGCTGATACTAGTAATTATTCTTCAAAAACCCTGTTGACATTAAACACTGCACTGTGAGAGTGGACTGATTGTCCTCACAAATGTGACATCACACAACACTTCTGTTTTCAGATCTTGTTGCATAATTTTTTTAGATATTTTCACAGTTGCAAAGGAAGTCTTTATCAAGACTCTATAGAGAAACCTTGATCGGAAAGCAAAGTGCATAGAAATACAGAAATGCAATGATATTTTCTTTGAAGATGAGAAAGATTGTTATGGTGCATGCAATCTTTTTTTTCTCCCTAATCCATATTTAACCAGTCATTGTGGTGCAGTCTGATTCCTGCTATTTAAAGCTATGGTTGGGGGTGAGGGTTTTCTGCTCTCATTATGTTGTCTTCTACATGTGAGCTTCTTATTTAAAGGGGTCTTGTAAAGAGAAAATAAAGAAACGTTGTTATCCTTATTTGTGATCAGAGGTGTCATGCCAGGATATGTTTAATACTTGGAATTTAGACTCCACAATTAAAGCGATTAAATAATACCCACAGTATGTTGTATTAATATTGTGCAGAACAGTAGCTGATGCTCTAAACAGTAAGGTTTTGCTAAACATGGTCACAACTCCAAATCATTTTATGTAGCGTAATGAAAGCTGCTCTTGAGATAGACATAGCGGAAATAGTTTCATAGACGTCGATGCACCTGTACTGCACAACTTTAAAAATGCATTCACTGAGAGCCAGTGAACTGTAGGAATATCCATGCTTCATACACTCTCCTGCAACTTGGTTTATTAGGTACACCTGTTCAACTGCTCGTTAATGCAAATATCTAATCGGCCAATCACATAGCAGTAACTGCATGGCATGGTCGATCCGGGGTGCGTTTCCCAAAAGCATTGTTATGCTGCGTTCAAGTCCTCCTGGGACGTTCATACGTACGAGTTGACAAGTCGTAATTACGACGTCAGGTGCGTTCAAGTCAGTTTAGTCGGCACAAGATGGTGGTGTACCTTCTTTTAATAAATTACAAGAAAATACAACAGGGTCTGTTAACTCTGCTTATAGAAAATGAAGAGTAAATAATTAGCATCAGGTGTGATTACAAAGTAATTTATGAAGCCACTTTAATCTGTATCGCATAAAAACTTGTTATTAATTGTTATATTACAATCCTGCCACATTCAAAAAGCTTATTTTTTGTTAATAAAAAGCCTGACAATGTCACTGCTTAATACCTATAAGTATTGTGATTTATGTTTTACTTTGGCAATCTTTATAGGACAACTAAACTATCAATTTAAACAAAAATTTACCGTCAACTACAGACGTTGCATCCATCGATTCCGCCATGTTTCTCATTGACACGCCCCCAACTCGGAAACTCGGGGCTTAAAGAAAATTTCGAGTTTCCCACTCGTAATAACAACTTTGTGGTGGCGTTCATGTGCGTTCAACTTGAAAATACGATCTATCCGACATGACTTGAACGCACCATTAGCTAACTATGGTAGTTAGTTCCATTGAAATCTATTGGTAACGATGGAACGTGCGACCATAGTTGCTTTCAGCCCTGCTGAAGGTTAAACTGAGCATCAGAATGAGGAAGAAAGCTGGTTCAAGAGACTTCGAATGTGGCATGGCCAGACCAGCAGATCTAATTTCAGAAATTGCTGATCTACTGGGATTTTTATGCACAACCATCTCAAGGGTTTACAGAGAATGTTCTGAAAAAGAGAAAATATCCAGTGAGTGGCAGTTCTATGGCCGAAAATGCCTTGATGATGCCAGAGGTTAGAGGAGAACGGCCAGACTGGTTCAAGCTGATAGAAAGGCAACTCGAATAACCTAATAATAACTCAAAAATAAAATAACTACTAAAATAACTCAAATTAGGGCTCAAAATAACTCAAATCGAATTTCTAATCGCGATTACAATTATGGACGCCACAATTACGTAATCGTTAAAAATCGGCAATTAATCGTCCACTTATGTTATTCTGCACGCTTAAGATATATTTTTTTCTTTCTACATGTTATCTTAAGGGATTTTCCATTGTTTTAGTTTTAGTATAACATCATAATACCGTTCATATTTTTACTTTTTTATAATTTAATGAAGAAATGAATCCGATGTATATTTGACATTTGAGGCTTAATACTATAGAAAAGCACTGAAGGTTTTTCAGTCAGTGTTTTCTGCTTATTTTCATATAAAAATATGGCATGCAGTTGCATCAAACAATGGTATAAACATCAGTCACTGTAAATTGTGATAATCGTAATTAATAATCGCAATTACAATTTCAAGGGAATAATCGACAATTATGATTTTTGTCATAATCGTGCAGCCCTAACTGAAATAATCACTTGTTAACTGAGGTATGCAGAAGAGCATCTCTGAACGCACAACACATTGAACTTTGAAGCAGATATATATAAATCTATCTATATATCTCAATATAATTCACATGGGCTCACCAAAATTGGACTTAGAGAAAATTGGAAAAGGGTTGCCTGAGTCTGGATTTCTGCTGACGAGTCTGATATGGACAGAATTTGGTATTAAATACATGAAAGCATGGATCCATCCTGCCTTGAATCAATGGTTCAGGCTGCTGGTGGTGGTGTAGTGGTGTGGAGGATATTTTCTTGGCACACTTTGGGCTCAATACTAATTGAGCATTGTTTAAATGCCTCAGCATACCTGATTGTTGCTAACCATGTCTGTCCCTTGATGACCACAGACTCATGACTACTTCCAGCAGGATCACACGCCATGTCACAAAGCTTGAATCATCTCAAACTGGTTTCTTGAACCTGAAATTGAGTTGACTACAGTCTCCAGATCTCAATCCAATAGAGCAACTTTGGGATGTAGTGTTTCCAGTTAGTTAAAAAGCAGTTAAAGTACAAAAAAATGTTTACTAATCAATTGAATGCACTGAACAGTATAAATTTCTATAATTGACAGTAGACTAAAACTTTTTACATTTATTTTCTTAAATTGTATGGACTTGAGTGTTCATAAAGCCCCATTACATTTATTCTCTGCAGTACTGATGGATGACTTTCTCCTTGGATTGAATCATTGTAGGATGCCAGTATTTGACTGTAATTCTGCAGTGCAGAGTATGTGCTGTACACTGTCCGTAATTTTATTAGTAGTTTTTAATATGTGATGATAGACGTTTCAGTAGTTGTGTTTCATTGTCACATGAGCTTGCATGTTTCACCAATATAATCCCTTTGGTTACATCTGTGACCAGATATTCAGAAAAGTAACACTGGTGACACACTTTGAAAAAAGTTTTTTTTTATTTTTTTTACTCTTTTTCATTTTCACCACAATGTTATGACAGCCCCACACTGTAAAAAATGACCGTGAATTTAACGGTAAAAGACTGTAAAAATGCTACAGTAAAAACCTGTTAAATGGTTAACGGTAAATTCCCCTACTATATACGGTGAAAAACTGTATTGGACATTACATGTTATGGACATTAATTTTACGGTAGTATACCGTTTTTGGAAGTGAAATAGGCCGTATAATTTACAGTGAATAACCGTAAATTGACATTCCCAGAATTCCCTGCGTTACATTTCAAATTTGATGTTTTTTTGTTGAAATAACTGTTTCCTCTTAGTTTTTTTCTTATCAGTTTTGTATATTAGGGTTGAGTGTTACACCTAATGTTGTTAAATTAATGTTTATTGCATTATTTCAGTTTAATGTGTGTTACCATGATGGTGTTTAGTGTTTGTGTGAATGACACGGTGCACCTTCTATACATCTTATTATTTAAAAGCTGCTTGTGATGGGCTTTGGTTCATCATGTGACTTTCTCATCACCACCTGCATTTGGTGGTTATCAGTGCATTACAAAGGTACAAAACAGATTTCAGTACTTCAATAGGTTGGTATATTAACATTATATCAGTTAATGAAATTACGGTATATTTAACTGTTAATTTAAGTTAAAAACCGTAAAACCTAAAACGTTGCTACCGTATTTTTTACGATAAAATTCCGGCAACCACTGCTGCCGGTTTTTTACCGTAAATTTTAAAAAAATCCTTTTTTCTGTAAGTCCCCAGTGTTATTTTATGATCATTGATATACTATTATAGATTTTATTTTTTTTATTTTTATATTTTCTGTTTTCAGTTTACTTTTAGCCAAAGTTTTATTTTGTATTGTTATTTTTTTAATATGCCTAAATAGGGTTTATGAATTTTTATTTAAAAAAAATTGGTTTTAGTTATTTTAGTACATCAAGGTAAAATAAATGAAAAATAGAAATGTTGCCTTTTACGTTTGTATTTTAATTTCAGTTCAACCAAAATGTTTTAATGGAATTAATCGTTTTATTTATCTGTAATAACTATGGTCCCCAGCATTCTGCTATTACCTCATTTTGAAGAAAGAAATCTCTTAATCATGTTTCATACATGCCAACATTAGTGTCACATGGTCATGACTAACCAGCTCTCTCCTTAAGATTTGTACAGAAATCAGGGATCTGGTTAGCCAGTGCCTAACCCGGGATCCAACTAAATGGCTGACGTTAGAGCAGATGTTACAACATGAGTTCATTAGAAATGATCTGCATTGGAGAGGTGCAGGAGATTCATTCAATCGGTGATTTCCGGTGTGGAACAGGCAATGTAGGAACTACATTTATGCTGTCCTATATCTTCAGTTCTAGATTATTTGTAGTATGTAACAATG